GTAGAGTAGATAGGGCGCCTGGCGCCATTCACAAGAGAGAGCTACATTTGGGTTATGCTGTTGGTGTTGCCCTGGTGGGCATGGACATTGACTCACAGTTCTTCTGTATCATTCTCAATGGGATGGTTACTCGGTTCCATGTGCTATCTGCTTTGGCTTTGAATACTTGGTCTTCAGTGTGATTTTGCATTCCGGATTTCTGTTCTTCTTCCACACTCATGTTCCTTGCACATTGAAATGCTGCGAACAAAGAAAAATTATATGTTCATATTTCAAAACTTTCTATCGAGTCAACCATCAAAACAGCCAACTCATTACTACTTTCGCATGCCAGCAGACATTCTCTCACAGATGGGCTCACAATGAGAAACCATTCTCACCCTAACGGGTGCAACTGTTTGAGATTGGAAATTAACCAATAAGAGGAGGTAGTGGAAGATGCTTTCAAGCATAAGCCCATTCAAAAGAGAGAGTGCAGGAGTCAGGCAAAGAGTGACAGCGAGCCATTCATTAACAAGGTATTCATGTAGGGTTTGTGGGGGTTCTAGCAGGCTGTGCCCAGTTATAGGAGTGCAAAGAAAACTTTCTCTGTGATATTTTACCAGGAACTCGACTCGGAATGTAATAACCTGCAAAGGATGATTCGTGAGGGTCTTCAAGATCGCACACTGCTCCCTCCATCTTCGGGTTGTCCATCTAAGGATAAAGGCCAGCGGGATCCAATCCCTTTTTGCCCACCTGTCCCTAAGCTCGGCGGCTATGTCCACCTTTGGAAGGATTGCCCGGTAAATCTTCTTGGTCGTGAGCGGCTGTAGCAGAATACTCCTACGGTTGAAGTTCTGGGGGGGAAGGGACCATTCTTGGGGGTCCAACATGAGGCAGAAGGGGGAACACCTCATCACTCCACTTGCCTCCTTTGCAAACCGACTCCGATACCATGTTGGACAGGTCTAGCTGGCAATTGCAGGGAATTCCATCCTAGCCCGTCCCCGTCAGGGGTTGCCCAAGGCCCTGGTATCCTGAGCTCACCACCATTCTGTGGCATCCGCTCTGCCCCCTGCCTATACCCTTTCCAGTCTATATACAACATGGGGGCGGAGCTCTCCCTTACCCCTCACACAACCCCCCGACTGGAAGCCCTCCCCCTTCAAAATCTCAAGCCACTGCAGCAAAATTGCCTTGCACAGCTCGCCATCTCATCGTCTGTTCTCCAGTCCTTTCTCTTGGTATCCCACAAATGACCAATCCTATATATTCCCTGTTTGGCCCACTGTTGCCCAAAAGCCTCCGCCCTTCCCTGCCACAGGTCCCCTCCCTTGTCATATATAAATCCGTTGCCAAACAACAGCTGGTTGAAGACCGCTGGCCGTGACATTGAGGGCTGCAGCGGGGAAAACACTCCAAGTGGCGGGAAAGAGGCCCGCGACACTTGAAGCAGCGGGAAAACACTCAAGTAGCAGGTAGGCCAGTACCACACCCAATAGAGGAAGATGTGCCGGGTACTCGAGGCCAAGCAGAAGAAGACAAAAGTTGGCAATTTTTGAGGCCCATAGTTGTAGGCTAGGTCTAGGCGGGTACCAGTCCAACCAGTCTGAGTCTAGGCCCTGTACCGGCAATATCAGAGTCTGCAATGATGTTTCCCTCCGAAAGGGAGGAGGTACCGGTTGCTTGGAGGCCACGCGGCCTGGGAAGTCACTCGCCAAGAGGCAAGTAGGCCGCTATATCTCCAGGAGGAGCAAAGTGCTCCTCCTCATTATCGGTGTGCAAGTTCAGCGACACGCTGGTTGGAGCGCTGGCTGGAGCAGCGCTGCTGGGGAGGAGCAAGGACAGGAGAAGGAAGAAGACCAGGGGAGCACCAGAGGTACTTACCTGGCTATGGTGGTTGCCATTTTCATCACCTTGGTGGGCACTGCAGCAAGAAGGCCTCGTAGAGCTACACCAAGAAGCTTCGAGGCAGAGTCAGGCATGGCGACCTGAGCTAGAGCAGCCATAGCTGCTTGAGTTGTCTTCTGCACATCAGGGCGAGGGCCTAGCAGTCCGACATAGCCTCGACCTTGGAAGAAGGTGGAAGAAGGTCGGCCATGGCTACGGTGGACCTCATGTGATACCTGCAGTAGAAGAGGGATTCGGACATTGATTCTGGTTCAGCCATGTAATATTATTATTATTATTTCTTGATTGAATAAGAGGGGAGGAGATGAGGAGACTGGTTGACGAAGAAGAAGAGCATTATCATTGGTGTATGCTGGTGTACATCATCTTCTTCTTCTTTCTTTCTTTTTCTTTTTCTTCTTCCCGTCTCTCTCCTCTCAAGTTCATTCATTTCTTTTTGCAATTGGGTGGCATTGTACTTTCTGATGAATGTGTACTTCGAAATTGGCCAGGATCATAACACATGACCTGTTCTTGCCAAGGAAACGTACCGTGACCAGATGGTACACCCATTTGCGTCGAGTTCTAAATAGTCTTGCGGAAGTGGCACTCGACATTAGAAGCAATATGCCGGAATGTGTGCTTCGAAATTGGTCAGGATCATAACACACGACCTGTTCTTGCCAAGGAAACGTACCGTGACCAGATGGTACCACCCATTTGGGTCGAGTTCTGTCATCTTACAGAAGTGGCACTCAACATAACAAGCAATATGCCTCCTCCAGACCCCAGCAATTACCGTTGTTGACAAGCATTTCCGTGCTGTACAGATATTGTTGACGATCATGTGGCTACAATGGATTACTCTTACACACATTTGCTGGCCCTCTTAGCAACCATGAGATCAACACACACCGGTGCGTCTATAATTGTTGATAGTCTCTCTCAGCTGCGCGGATGGCGTCAAACAATCTTTCAGAATGCCGAAGGAATTTCTCAGGTTCACCGTGCTGGGCACCCACTAGGGTTGCATTATCAGCTGCTAACAAATCTCTTTAGCAGCTACAGCAGCAATTTGTCATAGTACCAACTTAGAAAAAATAGAAAAATTGCAAGAATAATAGAATATAATAAAGAACAAGAATAAATATCAATAATAAATATACCCAAATATGAAATAAAAATATCCAATGCATACAAGCGCTGCTATCCCCCGCCCTGTATGTCATCTATATAGAGCATACTTGCCGCGCATCCATGCGCTGCGCGATGCGGTGCGGTGCGCAGCACGCCGTGCGCCCGTCGGGGATTCGCGCATTGATGCCCGATGCGTGCACATCGATGCGCAGTGCTCAATGCGGGATGCGTTGCGCGGCACTTCGATGCGCAGTGCGCCAGTGCGCCGGGGCGTGCGCGTGCCGCACGGAAAATGCGCGCATGGTGCGCTCGGGCATGGAGGGAAGGGGAGGACAACGACGGAGGGAGGAGATGGGTGACGAGGGAGGGAATGGAGGAGCGAGGAGGAGATCAATAGCGACGGAGGAGGGGGAAGGGAGAAGGGCCGAGGGAGGACGACACCGATGATGGAGGGAAGGGGAGGACAACGATGAAGGGAGGAGGAGATCGATGACGAGGGAGGAGGAGATCGATAGCGAGGGAGGAGGGGGAAGGGAGAAGTGTGGAGGGAGGGCGACTTCAATGATGAAGGAGGGAGGGGGAGCAGTGGTGCACTATTAAAAATTTCATATATGAAAAAAAAAAAAAAAGG